AAGAATTAACCTACACTTTGCTATCACCCTCTAACATGTTTTGGTCCTTCGAGCCGGATATGCCTTTATCAATCCTTCATATTATGTCCGTGTATAAATATCATCTTATCACCTATACCTTTTAAGGATAAGTTTTATACCGGATGTTATTAAGTACATTTTTTTTATTTTCAGATCTGGCGGCATAAATGCTGACTATTTGTGTGATGAGAGACAGATGGGACACGGCAGAGAAACCAAGGTTTGGACATCTCATTGTCTTACGAATTATATACTGGTATGACCGAGATAGACTTTGTAAAAAAGCAGTACTTGTGCCATTCCAATTTCATAAAAAAAAGAATATGTGTTTGGGAAACTACTCTGCTACCAAAATGTTAGGGAAAACGGTAGGTCACGTACCTGTATGGTTCTGCGGATTTCTTGGGCTTCAGGGTCTCGAAGATATCTTCGCTAGCTTTCACACACTTTCACAGTAGATTTAGTAGTAGGTACAGTTCTAATTTATTTTAATTCACAACACAATGCGCGCGCGCGTCAAGGCTGCCGTACAGTCCGTTTGTTACTCGTTAGGGAGGGGAAGGGAACGCGCGGGAACAGAAAACTAACGGACTCTAATATAATATAATATCTGTGCTTACGATGATATAGGGTAGATTTTGAACAATATCATTAGGCCCAGTTTAAAATATATTAAAGACTAACTGTACCCGCGACTTCGTCTGCGTGGAATTTAACTTTATATTTCTAAAATAAAAGTAGCCTGGGTACTCAGGCTACTTTTATTACATCAGATTAGCCATTCAGTCAGAGATTAACCGGAACAAACAGACAGACAGACAAAAATTGTAAAGTTCTGTTATTGTGGTGTATGTACCTTATTTATATTCATATGCATGTAGTAAAAAACGGTTATTTCAATATTACAATTCAGACTCTTCAATTTTATTTATATATATAGATATGAAGTGTCTCTGCTCGTTTTTTAAGTGGAAATAGTGATGATTATTTTTTTCTAAGATTATTTGTTATAATTATAATGTTGGTAGGCTCAGAACTTGGCGTCGGATCTACGGAAGCAACTGAACGAAGTGGATTCAATTGTGAACGAGGGCGTGAAACTGGCGGAGAAGCAGGGAGGCAAGACCATGCAGGCCAGGTCGGTATAAATATTTTAGGTAACTATAGTTATTTATATTATATTATATATTACTAGCTACTCGCAAGTTCAAGAAACTTAAAGACTGTATAAGTAGAAACTTACGCAATAAAAATAAGTTAATTTTACCTAAATGCCGTCTACACAAAGTTAGTAATTCATGCGTAATATTCTAATATTGCGTAATTTTTTTCTTTCTTTCTTTTTTCTATAAGAAACTGCCAGAATCTACGCTAAATCTGACAGAGGCAATTCAAACTTTATATTAAACAAATGTTATGTAAAAAAGCCTATTATAGGATAGATGAATTTATAGATGATAGCAATATATAGCAAGAATAAGTTTATTTGCGGACAACGTTATAATTTATTTTTCATACTGCTTTCTTGATATATGATAGCGTAGCGGCTTTTGTATTGATTGCCGCATGCATCCTCATGTAAAGTGCGAATACTGTAACTACCATATAGTAATTTTAAGTAGCTGTGACGTGGTCGAGTGGAATGAGTAGTCATGCTCACTAAAATGTCCAGACATGTGGCGGCGTGGTGGGCCGGGTCATTGGGCTCCCTAAAATATGGTCGAGCGCAGTGATGGCTGGCTCATACGTCATACTCGTGAACGAGTGCTGCTTGTAGGGACTGGTCTGCTCTTATCACTACGACTGATTTAATCTTATTGTGTTTTTATATTTGAGCCTAAATGAATTAGTGCTTGTTGGTAGTTCGTATTCAAACGTTTCGACTTGTAAAATGTGAACTTACAAGGATTGTTTAAAAGAGCAACACACAAGTTTCTTGCTTATTTTTCTTGGGATGAGACAGACATCTTTCCGAATAAGCAGTAAATAAAAAAAAAACTATTCAAAGGTGCTTAAATTAAGTTTATTTGAATAAATGATGTTCTATTCTATTCTATTCTATACCTCACTAGCGTAGCGGGTCTTATTTCTTACGGATGCCTTCATTGTAAGGACTCTCTACTTTTATGCATATAAGATTTTATCGGTGTTTTTTTTTAAAAAGGTTAATTATTTTAGAATTGATACATCACAAAAAATAAATTTTTTCTTTGTTTATATTTTTTTTAGTACAATAAAAGATATAATTTAAATCGACATTTATTCGATTAATATAATCTGTAATGTTAAATGTTACCTTCTAAAGAAGTAAGAACCTAAAACTAAAAACCTTAAAAATAAAATAACTAAGATATATTATTAAAAGGGGTCCCTTTAGGCAACGTTCCGAAGATACTGGCAGCGTTCCCTCTTTGAATGGCTAGACTAATTCTTTATCCGAGGTAGCTGCCAGCTCTTCGGTCTAAATATCTATTTTAAATATATGTATGATTTATATAAAATAAAAGATATAATTTATTTTCAGACAACTCAGGTCTATATTGTTAGTATAAATATAACCCGTAATCGTAGTTTTAGTATATGTTTATTTTATCTTTTACTCACTAAACGATTACTTGAATGATGAGCGTGCATGGCAATAGTTTTCATGTTCAGGATTTTCATTTAATGTTAGACATAGACACCTATATAAATACCTATGCATTGTAAATCAACTGGATTAAAAAAAAAGTAATTCAATTGAGTTTCTTGCCAGTTCTTCTCAATTGGATCTATATACCGAACTGGACGGTAGGGAAAAAAATATAATGTAAAAACTTGACGTTCATTAGCGGCTAAAATGTCCTACATGAATAAATTATTTTTTTAATTTGAATTTGAATCTCTCATTCCATCTGCTAGAGTTCATCGTCCGTCGCAGTAGGTATATGATTATGCTTTATTTTATTTATTTATTTATTTATTTATTTAGAGATGATATCCTTGTAAGAGATCTTATTGTGTACGCCTATGAAATTATTTCATTCTATCCCAATCATATAGTATAAAAACTAATGAGCATGCTAGAGAATGCGTACTATTCTCAACTATCCTGAATATTGTGTTAGTGTATCTTATTTTTTTTTTATTTGGACAATTCACACAGCTCCTGAAGGCCCTCTAGACCCAAGTTAAGCTAGCTAAAGCTTGTGTTATGGGTACTGGTCGCGGGTTAGTATCCTCGCACGGCACAAACATTTGTATTCATGAGTATGATTTTTTGTATCGGTCTGGGTGATTTCTATGTATAATATGTATGTATTTACGAAAAATAAAAAAATATCTATGTAGTTGTATCAGTTATTTAGTACCCATAACACAAGCTTTAGCTAGCTTAACTTGGGTCTAGATGGCGCTGTGTGAATTATCCTGAGATTATTATTATTATTATTAAGCATATGGTACAATAAAATTGTTTTGTTCTGGGATTCGAAAAGTGTGGGATAAAGTTGAAACTTCGTTATCATAGCTATCTTTATTGTTATTAGATAATTGCTATGGAAACGTGTGTTTTATCATCGGTCTCCTATGACAGGTGTCTGTACAATATAGACGGCCAGTCGCTGGTACATATCTCACTGGAAGGATAACGATAAGCATGAGTATGTAGACTGTGGTCCTTCGAGCCGGGCAGGCGCCAGTATCGTAATGATTGGTTTGGTTGGTGGCAGGCTGGAGGCGGCGCACGCGTGGGTGGTGAACCCGGGGGCGGAGCCGGGCGTGCGGGCCGCCGCGCAGCGAGCCATCACCAGCATCGTCGCGCAGGGGCAGCGGGTTCGAATGTTTTACATTTACACTTCTATTACTACTACACTATCTAACATATTCACATTACAACTACTATTTAACAGTAGGTTATTTACATTAAAAATATCTTTATTCATGTAGATTTATTACATACTCTTATGATATGTCAAATCTACCGTCAGTTCGGAGTGTTTTCTAGCTAAGAAGGATTGATAAGAAACAGTCCTCTTATTGTGTTTACATATGTGATAGATTTTTTAAGGGAAAATGAGATTTATCTTTAAATTTAATTAGAGAGAATGTAACGAGTGATCAGTATGTGCTATTGCGTTTTTGTCAAAAGCAAAAGAAATAATGAAATTCTTTATACATTACACGGTATTTATTGAATCAAATCGCCATCGGTGCCGTTTATAAGATGTGTGGTGTAACCTGTGCGTGGTCTCCAGATCGCGGACGGTCTGCAGGGCCGTGAGAAGGCGGAGATCCTGCAGCTGTGCGGCGACGTGCAGCGCGAGGCCGACGTCCTCGCAGACCTCTGCAGCAGCGGACGAGCAGACTCAGACCAGGCCCGCGCCACGGCCAGGTACCACACTCATCTCATGCATCTCATGACACACTCTACCATAGGTTCCTTTAAAATGACGGCCTCGGTGGGTCACCGGTCTAGCGGTTTGCCATACCGCTTTACCTACGATGACCGCGGGTTCGATTCCTCGCACGGTGTAAACGTTTGTATTCATATGGCCACTTCACTACACTATCATCATTCATGTATGGCCACTTGATTGACACGTATTATATACCCTTATAATACATGTCAATCAAGTGCCCAAAGTTGTGTCAAAACGCTAGTATGTAAAGTGCGGTATGATATCACAGACGTCTGACGGAGAAGCTGCACGAGCTGAAGCGAGCCATGGAGCGCGCGGTGGTGAACCGCGTGGTGGAGGACTTCATCGACGTCGCCGCGCCGCTCAGGCACTTCACGGAGGCTGTGGAGGCGCCGGAAGGTACGTACACACATACACACACACACAGGGTACATGGACGTGGATGGAAAGGAGTGAGGCACCAGAAGGTACCCTCCTACAGTCACCGAGGACAAACACACACACACACACACACACACATAGGGTACATGGACGTGGATGGATCCTTATCCATCCACGTCCGTTATCAGGGTGAGGCCCCAGAAGGTACCCTCCTACAGTCACCAAGGGCAAACACACACACACACGTAGGGTACATGGACGTGGATGGATAAGGGTGAGGCCTCAGAAGGTACCCTCCTACAGTCACCGAGGACAAACGCACACACATAGGGTACATGGACGTGGATGGAAAGGGGTGAGGCCTCAGAAGGTACCTTCCTACAGTCACCGAGGACAAACACACACAGGGTACATGGACGTGGATGGAAAGGGGTGAGGCCTCAGAAGGTACCTTCCTACAGTCACCGAGGACAAACGCACACACATAGGGTACATGGACGTGGATGGAAAGGGGTGAGGCCTCAGAAGGTACCTTCCTACAGTCACCGAGGACAAACGCACACACATAGGGTACATGGACGTGGATGGATGGAAGGAGATGAGACGAATGAAAGGAGGTGGATGAATTGTGTTGCAATGCGTGAATGTGGATGAATGGAAAGGGATGAGCTTCTGAGGGCTGGAGGTAGACCTGTTTTACGAATCCTCCAGAAGCTATTCAACTCCGTCATCCTCGAGGGCAGAACGCCTCAGGCATGGCAAAGGGGTGTGGTGGTTCTGTTCTTCAAGAAGGGAGACAAATCGCTTCTGAAGAATTTCAGACCCGTAATACTGCTTAGCCATGTTTATAAGTTGTTTTCGAGAGTCATCACGAATCATCTCGCGCGCGGACCGACGATCTGGTTAAGATCGCTAGAAGGCATTGTATGCGATCAGCGCAGGACCGATCGTCGTGGAGATCGTTGGGGGAGGCATATGTCTAGCAGTGGACGTCTTCCGGGCTGCGATGATGATGATGATGATGACAATTTTTGTCTGTCAGTCTCTCTGTTTCTTCCGGCTACTCTCTGAAAAGGCTGGACCGATTTTGATGGGACTTTTATTGTAAACGAAAGTAAAGCAATCTAAACCAAAACTTAGAGTAGTCAGTAGAGGTATGAAATAATATGAGTTGGGTGTGGCGATGCGCAGGTACACCTGGTCGGGACGCGAACTTCCAAGAGAAGGCTGCGGCGCTGCAGGCCTTCAGTGCTCGGGCGGCGGCCGCGGGGGGCATGGTGGCCGCACGCAGCGCCAGCAACAAGCGGCTCGCGGACCAGCTGCTGCACGTCGCCGCACAGGTACACACACACACAGACACACACACACACAGACAGACACACACACACAGACAGACACACACGCGGGGGGCATGGTGGCCGCACGCAGCGCCAGCAACAAGCGGCTCGCGGACCAGCTGCTGCACGTCGCCGCACAGGTACACACACACAGACACACAGACACAGACAGACACACAGACAGACACACACGCGGGGGGCATGGTGGCCGCACGCAGCGCCAGCAACAAGCGGCTCGCGGACCAGCTGCTGCACGTCGCCGCACAGGTACACACACACACAGACACACACACACAGACAGACACACAGACAGACGACGGCAACAAGTGCGCTTGTTGCCGCTAACCGAGGGTCTCTATCTCTAATCGTAATTAAAAAGTACTTAATGCCATATGAAATTATTGAAATACCATTAGGTATATATTTTGTCACCATCTTTTATTCTTGGTATACCACACATACCTACTTACTCCAATTGTCACATGCAATTTCATCTCATAATGTATTTAACTATCAATAAAAATCGGTGTTGTAGTAGCATTCAACCCAGACGGTTTTTAGCGTCAATTAATCATTATCAGGGAAATGTGAGCCTATCCCCCCCCCTTCTACCCTTCCCCCACCCCCTCTACCCTTCCCCCACCCCCTCTACCCCCGCCCCCACACACATTCTTTGGTCCTTCGCCGCCGGATCGTTATGAGGTGAAATTGCATGTATATGCAATTGAGTCAGCTCAGTTGCCCATATACAAATTGGTATAAATGGATAAATCGTTTATTTCTCAATAATGCTACATTCGCATTGCTATTTCTATTTATTTCAACCTAAATCTATTAATTTGCTTATATCTTCGCAGGTAGAAAAGCTGTCGCCACAGCTGATCTCTGCTGGAAAAATTCGCTTCCTCTATCCAGAGAGTAAGGTAAGAATTAACATATAACTATATAAATATTAATAAAAAAATGAATCATCAAATTAATGTTTATGCTATATATATCTATATCTATAGATACGATACGATACTTAATAGCTTAAGCACGTATGCCGTTGCTCCATTCCTTAATTCCCTAAAGTAATGACGTGAGCGTAAGATCTGTAGTGACCTCGTGGGGGGCGCCCCCGGACACACATTCTTTGGTCCTTCGCCGCCGGATCGTTACTGCGAGCACGTGAAATTGCGACCAGGCACTATACTTCGTGCGCACTGCTGGTACGTATCAGCGCCACACTACACTATACACACACTACCACGACGCGCGAAATGTGTATTTCTCAATAATGCTACATTGCGCACTGCTATTTCGTATTATTTCCACACTACACTACATTAATTACACACTATATCGTGCGCTGTGTGACCAGGCGCTCGACCCACTCGACTTCGTGCGCACTGCTGGAAACGTATCAGTCCTCTATCCAGAGACTACACTACACTACACATATAACTATATAAATGTGTGATAAAAAAATGAATCATCAAATTAATGTTTATGCTATATATATCTCGCCACACTACACTACACTACACACTATGCCGACGCGCGATTCCTGTGTGACCATGACGCTCGACCCGCTCGACTGTACACTGCCGGTACGTGTAGGTAGTCACTTCGCCACACTGCGCAACACTACACTACACACTACGAGCACGTGACCTGTGCGACCAGGCACTCGACCCACTCGACTTCGTGCGCACTGCTGGTACGTATCAGTCCTCGCCACACTACACTACACTACACTACACTACACTACACTACACACTATACCAAGTCGCAAGACCTGTGCGACCAGGCACTCGACCCGCTCGACTTCGTGCGCACTGCCGGTACGTATTAGTCCTTGTCACACTACACTACACTACACTACACTACACACTACCACGGCGCGCGACCAGTGTGACCAGGCGCTCGACTTTATGCGCACTGCCGGTACGGGCAGTCTATCTCACACTACACTACACTACATTACACACTATACAACGCCTTGTACTTGTAAATTTAGTTATATGCTCATAGTTAATTATTTTGACAGGTGAACTAATGCAGAAACATACGTACTTGTGTGAAGACGCTATACGTAACAACGACTCACAGAAAATGGTGGACAACACGTCCGCTATCGCTAGGTATGTTGCATTATATATGTTTAGTATTGATAGTATATATATATATATACCAGATCTGTGTTGTACCTATAATTTATTTGAATTTTACACTAATTTAACACAATAGGATGATTGTAGTTGATGATTAATCTAGTAAACAACTCATTTTCTAGAAATAATGATAAGGTACTTTGAAAATTCCCTTCCCAAATTTCACTAAAATGTGGGGAGTGGGTCGGATTGATTGAAATATTTGTGTAATTTAGTTTGTATCGCTCTTATATAGTAAAAATTACTTTTTCTTTTATTTCTTGTGAATACTAATTTGAAGTTAGGTACTATCTGTATGACGTTTGCGGTTTCGATACTCAGTGGTCATATTTCTTCTCGTAAGAATGATTAAAGTAGAACATGCGTATATCATACGATGAATAATGTATGGGGCGGGCGCAGGCTCGCGAACCGCGTGCTGCTGGTGGGCGGCGCGGAGCGCGACAACACCGAGGACGCGGAGTTCGCGCGCGAGCTGGCGGCCGCGCACCAGCGGCTGCAGGCCGCCATCCCCCCCGCGGTGCACGCCGCCAAGGGGGTCGCCCTCGGGGACACCGCGCGCGGGCCCGCCTGGCGCGCCGCCAACGCTGAGGTAACGAGCCGGCGGCCGCGCACCAGCGGCTGCAGGCCGCCATCCCCCCCGCGGTGCACGCCGCCAAGGGGGTCGCCCTCGGGGACACCGCGCGCGGGCCCGCCTGGCGCGCCGCCAACGCTGAGGTAACGAGCCGGCGGCCGCGCACCAGCGGCTGCAGGCCGCCATCCCCCCCGCGGTGCACGCCGCCAAGGGGGTCGCCCTCGGGGACACCGCGCGCGGGCCCGCCTGGCGCGCCGCCAACGCTGAGGTAACGAGCCGGCGGCCGCGCACCAGCGGCTGCAGGCCGCCATCCCCCCCGCGGGCGCGCCGCCCACCGCGCGCGGGCCCGCCTGGCGCGCCGCCAACGCTGAGGTAACGAGCCGGCGGCCGCGCACCAGCGACCAGCGGCCAGTCTACGGAATGGGGACTCATAGTACTGCTCGTTCATGTATATAGGCCATCGTTATCGTTTACTTCGAGTACTTTGAAAAACCTTGAAGCCTTTAAGGTTCAAATGACACCAATATTTGTCACATTAATAGATACAGAATTACGAAACCACCGTACAAGAATACCGTAATGAGACAACACAGTGTCCAGACTACGATACTAGAGTATCGTACGTCAGTTCAGTTGTCGCATCACTCATTCGATCCCAATCTATCAGAAACGCAAACTGTGAGCGGGCGGGGCGTGCTGTAGTACTACAATCGTGTCCCGCAGATCATGAAGGCCACGGGCCAGGTGGAGAGCGCGCTGAGCGGGCCGGCGCCCCCCGCGCCCCCCGCGCTGCCGGCCGCGCTGCAGGCGCTGCACGTGTCCGGGCAGCCCGCGCCGCCCCGCCCGCCGCCCCCCGCGCACCCCGCCGCGCCCGCCGCCGCGCCCCCGCGCCCGCCGCCGCCCGCCGACACCGACGACGAGGGCGAGGATATCTTCCGCCGCCAGCCGCACCCCAGCCAGCCCATACTGGTGAGTATTCTATTTTTAAAATGCATATATGTACGTTTTAAAAATAATTGTTGTTAAATTGTTATCCATTGATCGTGAAACACGTCAACGTTTAAAAATGGAATACTTATTATCTTCGTCCTAAAAACAGGCATCTGTGGTTTAAGTCATCCGGCTCGAAGGACCAATGTTCGGATTGTGCCGAACATTTCTCCTTCGTTATAAAAATAGAACATGAATTTGAATTTATTATACTATGTATTTTATTATGTATCAAACATATACATGCGAAAAGCGAAACATACATATTTAAAACTTTGACTAATTTTAGTATTCTTTTAATATTGAGTGCAAACGTATCTATTTCTATCATTAAATAAAAATACCGTGCATGAAAGAAAAAAAGAAAAGAAAGAAAGTAAATAGTTTATTTGGTACATAAACAACTATTGCCATGCACGTTTGTCATTCAAGTAATAATTTAGTGAGCAATAAGACTTATTGACTTTTTCTAAACGATACTTAAAAACAGCAAGTTTGTCTTTAAATCTAGTATTAATGTTAAACTCACCAACAGTAGGTGTGCGGCGGTAACTGTGTGTGTGTATGTCAGGTGGCGGCTCACAACCTGCACAAGGCGGTGCGCGAGTGGTCGTCGAAGGACAACGAGATCATCGCGGCCGCCAAGCGGATGGCCATCCTCATGGCACGACTTTCGGAGCTCGTGCGATCAGACTCCAAAGGTGACGTCACCATCACACCCACCACACTCATCACACCACACTTCCACTCTACAGCAGTAGACTTCAATAGCTGCCTTTACATGTACGCTCTTTTACGCAGAATAGATAGACGATGTAATGTTATAGAAAAAAGGTGCCTTTACACGTACGCTCTTTAAGAGGGAAATATATACACAATAGCTGCCTTTACACGTACGCTCTTTAAGAGGGAAATATATACACAATAGCTGCCTTTACACGTACGCTCTTTAAGAGGGACATATATAGACAATAGCTGCCTTTACACGTACGCTCTTTAAGAGGGAAATATATACACAATAGCTGCCTTTACACGTACGCTCTTTAAGAGGGACATATATAGACAATAGCTGCCTTTACACGTACGCTCTTTAAGAGGGACATATATAGACAATAGCTGCCTTTACACGTACGCTCTTTAAGAGGGAAATATATAGACAATAGCTGCCTTTACACGTACGCTCTTTAAGAGGGACATATATAGACAATAGCTGCCTTTACACGTGCGCTCTTTAAGAGGGAAATATATACACAATAGCTGCCTTTACACGTACGCTCTTTACAATGTACAATTATTGAGAAACTTTTAATTGGTCGAATATTATTCTTCTATTTGATTTCAAAATCTGTGTTTATATTATTCATTGTATGTAAGACAATATTTGTGCTATTCAAATTACAACATATAAATTTTGACACAATCTTTAAAACATACTGAGCCACTGACAGACTTACATAAATAATTTCTACAATATATTTCGTGTAGCCTTTGATATATCTTGTCAATTTTTCTCATTGTTCTGAATAACGATAGATTTGACGTATCATTTGTAAACCTACATGAATAAAGATTGCTAATTTTTATTTCTATAAACATTTTCTTGTCAATTTTTCTCCTCTCGAAATCATTCCGAACTGGCGATAGATTTGATATATCATAAGAGTCTAATAGACCTACATGAATAAATATATTTTGAATTTGAAATTGAAATTTGAAACATATAGAGAAAGAATACGAGCCGAGTTCTTTGTCAGTTCTTCTCCTCTCGAAATCATTTCGAACTGACGGTAGATTTGACATATCATAAGAGTCTGTAATAGACCTACATGAATAAAGATATTTTGAATTTGAAATTGAAATTTGAAACATATAGAGAAATAATACCAGCGGAGATCTTTGTCAGTTCTTCTCATCTCGAAATCATTCCGAACTGACGGTAGATTTGACATATCATAAGAGTCTGTAATAGACCTACATGAATAAAGATATTTTGAATTTGAATTTGAAGATGGCTGCGAACAGGGAGGAATGAAAGAGAAAAACATATTACGCCGACCACAAATTGAATTGATGATGTTGTGTTAAGTTAATATATACTGTATTGTGTAATATATAAGTACTATATTTGCATTAAATGTAAACTGTGTCGCTACTCATATATGTTGTGTATTCATTGTATATATCTGTGCATTGCTAACTGGATGTAGAGGTCGCTATGAACTTGAGCGGTAAGTAGCTTCTGTGTATGCCAAATCATTTGTTGTTATATATGTAACGTATGTACATATACATAGAGTGCACATTCGTTTGGAGGTGCAAGTCTTCTATAATGGACGAACTCGGTGGTGTAGTGGTTTAGCACATCGCCTTACTTTTAAAGGTCGCGGGTTCGATTCCTCGCACGGTACAAACATTTGTATTCATGATTATGATTGTTTGTGTTAAATTGATTAGACTTAAAATGAGGAGAGAGCAATAAGCTTAATAAATAATATATGTGAGTATTAAAAAGTGCTTATATTAAGTTTATTTGAATAAAGATTATTTCTATTTGTAGTGCTTTTGAGTAGTCATAAGGATTCTAAATCGGAAGAATTCATCAGAAATAATCTTTATTCAAATAAACTTGTGTGTTGCTCTTTTTAGTATAATGTTTTTTTTTATATAATCATTAGGAATGCAGATAATCACAAGAAGATTGAGCACTCATTATTAGTGTAATCAGATGTGTGTTGTCAGTGCTATTGATTTAAATGTTTTTCTATAATAAAATTATTATCGTTAACGAATTCGATAATCAATTTTATAGAAGCTTTTTTGCAAACGAAGTGTTTTATATGAGATTTAATCTTTTTCAGGCAGATTTATAATATTGTATTTTGTTGTAAAACAAATTTTTTCTAGTTAAAACATTATAAAATCAGTTTGTTATTCTTCAATTTTATAGTGCAATCACTAACTCTTTTGAAAGGAAGTATTTTATATGACATTTAAATGTTTTCTCAGGCAGATTTATAACAGACGCTGGTAAAAATACCAGATTTGAAAAATTTGAAATCTAATGCCTGATTACATAAGTAGATGATATACATACAAAGAATTTGTCCGACATGTTTAGCCTAGATGGCATACAATATATTTAAATGCTACAATAAAATATTAAATTTAAATGTTAAACAATAATAAAAAAGACTGATGTCATAATAATACAAAAACAAACTATACGACTATAAATGGTGCGAATTCATAAGACTTCTTCAACTTTAACGGATTCATCTGAGATATCAAATAATAATATTGGTTATTATTTGCCATTGCAGGCAGCAAGCGTGAGCTGATAGCGACGGCGAAGGCCATCGCTGAAGCTTCCGAGGAGGTGACCAGGCTCGCCAAGAAACTGGCGCTCGAGTGCACCGACAAGAGGATCAGAACGGTAAATATACTGTTTTTTTTATGGATGACTAGCTATACCCGCGACTTTGTCCGTGTGTTATACAATCTTTCTTACATAGTATTTATCTTAATCTAATAGAATTACTTGACTTTTTGTCCAGCATAGACCTCCCCTAGAGATCGCCATCGAATGCGATTCTGTGCTCTTTTCCACGTATGTCCCGCAATTTTTTTTATTGCCGTCTTCCCATCTACGACGCTGTCTCCCTTTCCGGCTCTTATATTGTCTCGGGTTATAGTGACCTTGACCAAATATAGAAAAATATTTAATATTCTAACCCAAAAAAGGCAATAAAAAAAAGTATCCTCGTTATAGTTAAAAAAAAAATTATTTTCCATACAAAATTTTACAAACTTAGTCATATTTATTTATATTTAATTAATTAATGAACAGCAACACAAAAACCTAAAAATAAATTTCAAGATTCTAATTTTAAAAGTGACGATACTTCTATAGAACCCTTCATCTCCCCTTTCAACCCCTTACAACCCTTTATTCGCATTAAAAAGTAGGCTATATCCTTTGTCAGAGTCTAGACTATCTGTGTAGCAAATTTCATTTAAATCGGTTCAGTATTTATGACGTGAAAGCGAGACAGACAGACAGAGTTACTTTCGCATTTATAATATTAGTACAGATAATGGAATGGCCGTCGGGGCAATAAAGTCCCCGAGTGGCGACCGCGGACCGTCAGACGCAGTGTGGGAAGGCCTCCAGCAACGTGGCCGACGATCTGGTCAAAATCGCTGGAAGGCATTGGATGCGAGCAGCGCAGGACCGATCGTCGTGGAGATCTTTGGGGGAGGCCTATGTCCAGCAGTGGACGTCTTCCGGGCTGAGATGATGATGATGATGATGATGAATGGGATGGTATATCCGTCTATGCAAATGGTTTACTCTGATGGGATAGTAATGGAAGATGATAAGATGAGCAAGAGGTCAGGTCAGTTAGCCCATCGTGACAAATTCACCAGGAATTACCACAATGGTTTCCAAGGGGAACCGCATAGAGGTCAAACTGACATAGTACATTTCTAAACATAAGATCATCAGTCCACATCAGTCACCGTCCCCTTTCCCCCCTTAATATTGTTGTTATATATGTAACGTATGTACATATACATAGAGTGCACATTCCTCAGTAATACGCCTTCTATAATGGACGGTCTCGGTGGTCTAGCAGGTTAGCACACTGCCTTATATCAGATGATCACGGGTTCGATTTCTCGCACGGTACAAACAATTGTATTTCTGAACATAATTGTTTGTATCGGTTTATTACGAGTAATTTGTATTATTAGGTGTTTTTTTTTTTTTGTGGATGATAATGGAATGGTGCACCCGCCTGCGCTAACGGTTTACGCTGGCGGGGCACCAGTGGAGGATGATAAGATGAGCATGAGGTCAGGTCAGTTAGCCCATCGTGACAATTCACCGGGAATTTATCACGATGGTTTCCAGGGGGAACCGCGTGGAGGTCGACCTGACATGGTACATTGCTACCAATGGGGTCAACAATCCACATTACTAACAATACCCTCCCCTCGTATCATTAGGTGTTCATGTATGTATTTATATCAGTTGTATACCCACAACACAAGCTCTGCTTACTGCGGGAAGATGGCGCTGTGTGAATTGTCCAGGGTTATTTATGTATTATATCAGTTGTCTAGTACCCATAACACAAGCTCTGCTTACCGTGGGACTAGATGGCGCTGTGTCAATTGTCCAGGGTTATTTATTTATTTATATGAGTTGTCTAGTACCCATAACACAAGATCTTTACCAGTGGACTAGATGGCGCTGTGTGAATTGTCCGTAGGATTATTTATTTATTTATATCAGTTGTCTAGTACCCATAACACAACCTCTGCTTGACTATTCAAAAGATGGCGCTGTGTGAATTATATAAGGTTATGTAATTTTACCAGTGTTCAGTAATTCGTAGTTCATGAGTGTATATGTTAATTAAATATAATATATTCAATATTTATTTAAAAGGGCAACACACAAGTTTCATGCTTATTCTTCTTGTGATGAATCTGCATTCCGAATAAGCGGTAGAATAAAAAAACTTGACTATTCAAAAGTGCTTATAGTTATATAAAGTTTATTTGAATAAAGATTATTTCTATTCATTTTAGTTTATTAAAAAAAAATATATACAAGGTACATTATTCACCCTCGAGGACATAGCTGAAGATCAGTGTTTTGTTCCTTGAAAAATTTTAAATACATAGCACTATTATCTGATTACACTAATAATGAGTGCGTAGCGATTTCTATGTTGATTGTCGTATGCCTCTTACTTGTTACACTGTAATTATTTATATAAAAAAAAAACATCTATTGAAAAGAGCAACACACAAGTTTCTTGCTCATTCTTCTTGTGATGAATCTGCATTCCGAATGAGTGGTAGAATAAAAATATGACTATTCAAAAGTGCTTGTAATGAGTTTATTTGAATAAAGATTATTTCTATTTCTATTTCTATTATCTATTTCTGAGTGATTCTCCACACTGAGCTATGTACCAATTTTGTATTGCTGTAGCACACCCATGCAGGTTTACCCTTATTGAATTGTTATATTTAGGTACTTGTCATTTGATGTTATAATTAAGCCTATATGTGTGTACTAAGATACAAATAAAAACTACTATCTATCTATTTCTATTTCTATTTCTACAGAACCTGTTGCAAGTGTGCGAGCGCATCCCCACCATCGGCACTCAGCTCAAGATACTGTCCACCGTCAAAGCCACTATGCTCGGCGCACAAGGTATGTCACTAGTCTATAAGATGGTAAACAGCACTACAAATTACATTAAAATACTCTATCATATGATGAACTAGCTGTACTGGCTTTCAAGACCATACGACTACTATACAAGATTAGCTGTATCCGCGACTTCGTCCGTCTGGAATTTAACTTTAATTTTCTATAATAAAACTAGCTTAAGTTACTCCTTATTACATCAGCTACCTGTCAATAAAAGTCCCGTCAAAATCGGTAAAGCCATTTCAGAGATTAGAACAAACAGACAGACATACAGACAAAAATTGTAAAAAATGTCATTTTGGCGTCATTATGCCTTATTTATATTCATATGCATGTAGTAAAAAGCGGTTATTACAATATTACAAACAGACACTCCAATTTTATTTATATGTATAGATAATAAATGACGTAATAAAGAGAGACGTTTGTCTGTGTATACATATATTATTATAGCTATATTTCGTACAGAAATGTATATAGCTAACATTAATCGCTTCAACTACAGTTCTGCTTTTTATTGTTGAAATCAGTGGTTCTCAAACTTTTTAGTTGTCGTAGACCCCTTGCCATTTTTCGGTTTTGTATGTTCTTACTTACTATTGAGTTTTTGTAAATTTCTAACTGTAGTAAAGTTTATTGTTAAAACATAAAGTAAAAACAGGATGACCACTGTCGCAGGCCCCTTGCAGTTTGTCATAGACCCCTGGGGGTCGATATAAACCACTTTGGGAATCACTGCTTTAAAATATCTGCTTTCTTCCATTTATTATCTTTACGTGGTATAACAAAATCCGACTACTCGCTTATATCTTTTAAATAACGTAACGGATTTTAATGATGTTTTCAGCAATATATAGAGTGGTACAAGTACAAGTTGTATGTTGTATCATAAAAAAATAGAGACTAAAAAGATTTGTCTAAAAAATAAAAAATTTAGGGGTGGATTACCCCTAACATTTAGAGGGATGAAATATAGATGTTGGCCGATTCTCAGACCTACTCAATACGCTCACAAAATTTCATGAGAATCGGTCAAGCCGTTTCGGAGTATGGGAACGAAAACTGTGACAAGAGAATTATATATATAAGATATGCATATTGGTAAATTTAACTGTGCCACTGTTAGGCAAATTGTAACATATCGGCTGGAGGCTCCTTTATTTAAAAAAAAACCCAAATGCATAAAAAATACATTTGTTTCAAAACCGGGATGGATCGCTAATCATTACATAGTATAAAACAAAATCGCTGTCGCTGTCTGTCCGTCCCGTCCGTCAGTTTACCCGTGATCATGGCGGTTGAAACACGACCGAAATATAAGAACTCAATAAAGAGAATTTGGTAAGATCTTGTGATTTTTCTTAATTGTACGTACAAATAATGACTGCGTCAAAATAACAGTATAAAATAATTGAGCCGAGCGAACTTAGAAATCAGATTTGGACACTTTATTACAATATTTTGTAGGAAATAATTTGACGTTCATAATCAGCTAAAATGTCCTACATGATAAATGATTTTTTTAAATTTGAATTTGTACCCTTTGGCTTATCGCTGCTAATGTATTGCTTATTGCTTCCATAACAGTCGGCATGGCGGACTATAAAGGTAAATCATATTTATTAACTCAACCTACTAACAATTGATCAAAAACTAAATATAAGAAAAAAAAAACATTAAATCTATTCGCAGCAAACACATGTTATTTTAAAGTTTTGTTAGTATTAATGAATGTCAAATGCAAGAAAAATATGTTTACAAACAAAACGTAATTGTTTTAGTTTTTGTTAGATTTTTTCTTAATGTATATATTCGCAAAGAATGAAAAATATGAGATATATATGTGCAAAATGCATTGATGCATGTCCATCAGTTTATAGTACAAGCACTTTTTAATTTGGAATCTAATATTTTTCATTCTTTGCGAATATATACAATATTCGCAAAGAATGAAAAATATTAGATATATATGTGCAAAATGCATTGATGCATGTCCATCAGTTTATAGTACAAGCACTTTTTAATTTGGAATCTAATATTTTTCATTCTTTGCGAATATATACAATATTCGCAAAGAATGAAAAATATTAGATATATATGTGCAAAATGCATTGATGCATGTCCATGAGTTTATAGTACAAGCACTTTTTAATTTGGGACTATAGTCTGTTTTTTAATCCCGGAGACTAAATTGACAGGTGTAAATGTCAAATTTTCAAATAATGTTACCACCTACCAGCGGAGTAGTGGTGTACCTACGATACCGGTTTGCTTATACGTAAGTTTTTATTAAAAAAAAAACAAAATTTTGGTTTCGGTACTGTAAATTTTTTATATAGGTTTTGTACATACATTATACATAAGTATTTATAAAAAAAAAATTGTGGTTTCGGTACATATCGTAATTTTTACAGTACAAGCTACGGTAATTTTTTTATTTATGTGTATGTTTTATACAATATGACACCATACGAAGGTCATTTGTTTTATTTATACTTTGTTTTAGTGAAAAATATATCAACTAAAAAAATCTATTTTTATACAACAAGTCTATATTTATTCATTAATATCTGTATTTTATTAGTTTTGTGTTAATACATAATAAATTGCAAAAAAACTGGTAATATTGTCTCTGGGATTAAAAAACAGATAATTAGTGTGAGTTGGTGAAGTGCTTCTCATTTATTTTTCTCCTTTAAATATTTTTGTGTGACACTGTCACAGTGTGTCGTGTTGTGACAATGAACTATGAAGTGACGGACTGGTTTAGATTTTTTTATTCTTTCTTTAGTAAGCTAGTTTTCCTTTTTTTTTTTGGATACTTGTCGTAGTGGCTTTGAACTTTTATGAATGATAATGGAATGGTGCACCCGCCTGCGCTAACGGTTTACGCTGGCGGGGCACCAGTGGAGGATGATAAGATGAACATGAGGTCAGGTCAGTTAGCCCATCGTGACAAATTTACCATGAATTTATCACGATGGTTTCCAGGGAGAACCGCGTGGAGGTCAACCTAACATGGTACATTGCTAGCAATAAGATCATCAGTCCACATTACTAATAATCCCCTTCCCCCCAGGGGCTTTGAACTAGCCACCCGGAGGCTGTGCCCCCGGAGTAATGCCGGGGCAAAGGAGTTCGTCCCGAGGCCCCAACCTTCACCTTAGGGGGTTCGGATGACCAGATAGTAAATTATTTCTGCAACATTACTCAATATAGTATGTCGGTTGCATTACAGGCAGCGAGGAGGACCAGGAAGCTACTGAGATGTTGGTCGGCAACGCGCAGAACCTGATGCAAAGTGTAAGTTATGCATATTGTTGCTTCTTTGCTTAAGTATTGTCATATAATTAAGTAATGCCTACAATTCTACAGTTTTTTTTTATGTTTATTCTGGGGAGGCAATAGATAATAAAATGATACTGAAATGGTGCACTCAGATGGACTAGCGGTTTAGCACACCGCTTTACGTCCATTGGTCGCGGGTTCAATTCCTCGCACAGCGCATACATTTGTATTCATGAGTATGATTGTTTGTATCGGTCTGGGTGTTTTATATATATATATATATATAATATGTATGTATTTACGAAAAAAAAATATCTATGTATTTGTATCAGTTATCTATTATAGTACCCATAACACAAGCTTTAGCTAGCTTAACTTGGGTCTAGATGGCGCTGTGTGAATTGTCCTGAGATTATTATTATTATGGCTTACAACCCAGACGGTTTACGCTGGGAGGGCGACATGGAAAGATGATAAATTGAGGATGAGGGTACATTAGATGGCCTTGGGAATTTCCCCGGTAATTAATCCAAGTGGTTTCCAAGGGAGATCCTGTGGATGTGATCTTAACACAGTACGATTTTTTTTAATGAATGGTGCTCTCGGATGCTGTATCGGTTTACCCTGGCATGGTAACAGGGGAGGATGATAAGATGTATAAGTCAGGTCAGTTGGCCGTTGGCAATTTCTCTGGTAATTTATCAAGATGTACACATTTTATTCATGTATGATAATGGGATGGTGCACCCGCCTGCGCTACCAGAAATTATCATGTTGGTATCTAGGTTGTGTGCACTGATTATTGCTTGCGTGTACTAAAGGAAAAAAAGTGTATATGGGCGTTATATATACAACATATGCATGATGACTAGGGCCCTCACAGGACACTGCAAATAAAACAAGCATATGGCCAAACTAGGCCTATGCACGACAAGAATCTGCAGATTCCGCCAAACTGAAGAGGAAACGCCACTACACATCCTATGTGTGTAGCCCACTCATGCATAAACGAAATATCTCCTTTGTAAAGTATACGCTCTATCCTGAGGAGATAAAAACCATCGCTCCTAAGAATATCCTTCAATTCTTGTCCCTGACGGGTCTAGGTAGCGAACTTTGAAAAAGGGCGAGCAGAATAGATCTATGTAGGTCGCAGTGCTACAGGTGCTACAAACATCTGACAATAGCCCAAACAACCCAAAATATATATATATATATATATATATATATATATATATATATATATATGCAGAGCGGTGTGTAATGTGAATATTGATATATAAAACAATATATGTATATGTGTGTATGTTTGCAGGTGAAGGAAACTGTGAAGGCAGCTGAGGGCGCGTCCATCAAGATCCGGACGGAGCAGGATGGATACAGGCTGCGCTGGGTGCGCCGCTCGCCCTGGTACCAGATATAGGAGCCGCCAGGTACACTACACTTTTCTTGGGTGATAATGGAATGGTGCACCCACCTGCGCTAACGGTTTACGCTGGCAGAGCACTAGTGGAAGATGATAAGATGAGATCAGGTCCGTTAGCCCATCGTGACAAATTCACCAAGAATTTATCACGTTGTTTTCAAGAGAGAACCGCGACCTGACATGGTACAATGTTAGCAATAAGATCATCAGTCCACATTACTCACAACCCCCTATCCCTCTTTGGTACAGTACACTGCACTGTAAGTGCACACTGCACTACACTACAGTATGTAACTCATGTCTAACTATTTAAGCCGTGAAGCAGCTCTATAAGCTATGTTTCGGTATAAGAGGCATGACGTGTTAGACCTCCAGAATAGCAATAATTAAAAAAAATCGTGTAACTGTTATCAAATCAAATTTTGATTTGAGTTTAAAGATAGTGTTCACGTCACTTACGCATGACGCATCTCCCTAACGGTTTACGCTCTCCCACTAGTGGAAGATGATAAGATGAGATCAGGTCCGTTACCCCATCGTGACAAATTCACCAAGAATTTATCACATTGTTCTCAAGACGGAACCGCGTGGAGGTCTACCTGACATGGTACAATGTTAGCAATAAGATCAGTCCACATTACTCACAACCCCCTTTCACCCCTCGTTACAGTACACTCCAGTATGTAACTCATGTCTACTAATTTAAACCGTCAATCAGTTCTATAAGCTGTGTTTCGGTATAAGAGGCATGACGTGTTAAACCTCCAGAGTAACAAAAATAAAAAAAAATCATGTAACTGTTATCAAATCAAATTTGATTTGGTTTGAGTTTGTATCATTTGAAGATAGTGTTCACGCCACTTACGCATGACGCATCTCTCTCCCTTGTCTAATACTCGTAACAAGCGCTGCTTAGCTACAGGATGGCGCTGTATGATTTTGTTCTGCTTTATTATTATTCATTCATTCATAATTTAAGAGCTACGCTCTTATCGGTGCAGCTCTTACCACTTCCCGCGATCTTCCATCATGCTCTTTAAATGTTAATACTACACGACTCCTATGTTGTTTTTAATTTGCTTGATGTAGTGCCCTGGTCCTTCCCTCTTTCCTTCTATCTTTCCCTCAATAATAATTTTCATAAACTCATCATCAGCAAGTGTCCCAACATTTTTCCTCGTCTATTTTCTATTGTATTCTATATGTGCCTTTTTTCTTTTACCCCGTGTAGTACTTATAATGTAACTTAATTGTTAAAGTAAGTGTTAAGAATTATAATTCGCATACCCCCTGAATATGAGCCCTGACCCTGAATACGAACATTTGTACTGTTGTTGTAAATGTTGAAGCAAATGAATTATCTATCTATCTACTTCTTCGTTTCTTACTTTATCTTTCCAGCTGATTCTTTCCATCCTTCTCCAACACTACATTTCAAAGCGTCTAGTTTGTCCCTTTCGTTTTGATTTATTTATTTATTTATTTATGCGCGCGCCAGCTGTATTTTTTCAAATGCGTTTCAATCTTATTTCGTTTTAAATAAGGACTAATTTGGTTAAAAGGAAGTCACTGTTTTGCAGGCACATATCTGTGACAAGACGGTAATACAGTTTAAGAGGGGTGCACAGATCTGTGTCAAAATGTTCGAAGGGTTAATGTCCACGTCTCACGTCTATTCTTATTATTATAATTTTTTTTTTATATTATTTTTTCTCGTCAAAATGTACATAACAATGTTCTATATCAGGTGGATATACAAATGTAGGCCTGTCTGTATCTGTCTGTAGAAACTTTCTAACAATGCGGCATGTATTTAGAATTACAGCCTTCTGTAGTTGGCAGTATATATTATTATTATTATTATTATTTTTTATATTATTTTTTCTCGACTTTCGCCGGTTATCTCGGGCCTAAGCCAAGTACATAACAATGTTCTATCTTAGGTGGATATACCATAATACAAATGTAGGCCTAATCTGTGTGTAGAAACTTTCTAACAGTGCGGCATGTGTTTAGAACTACAGCCTTCTGTAGCTGGCAGTATATATTAGGGGGCAAGTTCAGGGTATTATTCTTATTAAATATTAATTTTCGCTAATGATATCAATAATATTTTTCAGATGACATCACCTAGAATTCCAACGGCATCTGTCACCTGAACGTCCGTACACGCAGCGGAATATTTACTCTACAGTCCGAACCTGTAGTTATATACTTTAGTTACGATCAATATGCCATCTTGACTTCTAGTCACCGATACTGACTAACCTTTACTAATATTTGACGTTTAATTAATATGAAAAGAGGTACCCTTAATCCTTGCACAGAAGCTAATAAGTTTGAAGATCTGAAGTCTCCAATATCTACAGTATAAGGACCTGGAAGTTTTCGTTCGAATTTCATATTTTTGGGCTTTTATTGTCATTTACGACAATTAGGGGATGAAAACTGATGCCTTTTCAATATATATATTACGATATGGCTTAAATATGAAATTGTATATATAACCAAATACAAACTACGTATAATAACTTATGACTTACGCAAATACGGCTGTATAGATAAGTCCCTTTGTGTATTGCTTTAAAAAAAAGTTCCCACTCAGATATATTTTTTTGTTATATTGAAAGTATTATAAAGACAATATTAGACAACATATATTTAGCTAAATATATCTATAAATATATAAATTAATTAATTTCAAGCCATTTCTTTTATATATATAAATAATATTAATAATTATTAATTTTTGCTCTATTCTCATGTTTTACTTGGCTGCTAATTCAAATAAATTATTTAGCGGTAATTAAAAAGCTGTAAAATATTTTGATAACTAAAGATCTAGAAATCACTGAACTTAGTCTGTCATCTTGGCATCTATATGTATTGGTTACTCTGGTTAGTGCAAGCGAGATAGAAAATTACGTAAATCGTACACGTAAATTTTGGCTTTAAAATTTCCTGATATACTTAATATCTCCTTTTTCAAGAAGGGTATATTAAGGGTCGGCAAAGCGCTCGTGACACCCCTGGTGTATCAGGCGTCCATAATCTACGGTAACTATTTACCATCAGATGGGCCGTATGCTTGTTTGCCAGAATATTAGTATAAAAAAACATATATTAGCTCTAACCAATTGGCTCTAACTACTAATTATAAGTGGATCAGCTTTTTAACGCTTAGTTTAACGTACTAATTAAAAACTATTCGATTTATTGAAATGTTTAATCGATAATTTATAATGATTATTTACAACGAATGTGTATTAAGATAAGGTAGTGTAGGAAAACGTGGGTGATTCAGGAATGTTAGTGCCATGCATCAGTGCTTTATATACTGTATTATATATACTATATAGATGTAGTTATACCAGTTTTACCTTAGTACTCTTCGGATACATGGTTATATTATCTAAAACATTTTTTCGGACTACTCTAAAGCCCTATTTACACTCAGCCCGAGTGGGCAGGGAAGTGAGCAGCGCGAGAGTGTAAACACGACTTCCCATGCCATTGTCGCTGCCACTCGCGCTGCCCGGCGCTCCCTCGATTGTCGGAATTTCGTGCGCGAGTCAAAGGACTGGCAGCGCGAGTGGAAGCGTGTGTTTACATTCAGCCGTCTCGCTCAGTTGTCGCCCGGTAATATTTTCGGCAGCGCGAGTGGCAGGGGAAGCGGCTGAATGTAAACGTAGCATTATGCTGTTGGCCGCTGGCCTTTACTGCTTCACCGGACGATAGGGGGCGAGTGCAGATGGCACTCCACACCTAAGGAAGGACTTATTGAGCGGTTGAAGGCCAACCTCCTGATGGATACGACGAGTCTGAGGGCACCGCTAGGGTTCGAACCTCGGCTCGGGCTGTAATTTCGATCCCGTTTGAATATGACGGGAGATCGATATGTCTAAATGTTTGTTAAAGTAATTGCATGATTATTCTTAAGCTTATTGCTCTCCTTAAATTCTACATGTCCCATATAAAAGCACTGTTTTTTAGTGACAAGATATATTAAATAATGTTTAAGTATAAAGTTAAACGGAATTTTTATATGTGGCAACAACATGTGTTAAAGATTTATTGGTATATATATATTGAAATATTTTTGTCAAATATCACCCTAATTTATTACCCTTTATTCAAATTCAAAATATCTTCATTCATGTAGGTCTATTACAGACTCTTATGATATGTCAAATCTACCGTCAGTTCGGAATGATTTCGAGATGAGAAGAATTGACAAGAAACTCAGCTCGTATTCTCTTCAAATAAATGTTGTACATGTTTAAAATAATATAGTGTCTAATATAATAATATATATTTTAGTCTTTTAATAATATATTTTATTATTTATATTTTTTAAGCTTTTTAATTTTAGGTTCTTAGTTGTACAATTAGGTTATGTAAATACTAGTAATAAATATAGTGTCTTGTATAACATAATGGAGCTTCTAATCAAACTCAGATTTATATATTTAAGTATATTAATTTCGACAACGTTGTACAAATTAGGTTAGTACAAAAGAAGTGAACTCAATAATTGACGAGCGTATAAGAAAAAAAAATTGATGCAGGTATACAAAAAACAAGTACATATGCAATGCGACTATATAATGCATATTCTTGGTGCTATTAAAATATATCAGGCGCTTTTGGCCTGAACATGTAGATATATTTATTTTTATTCATTTATAGCTGACCCGGCGAACTTTGTTCCGCCTTAATGGCAATAAATAAGCAGATTCTTTTTTAATTAAAAAAAATAAAAAATAAATTAAATACCTACATTTATCATTCATAATTCTTTCTGTATTTTAGTACATAGGTTGCTCTTCATTTAAGTATCTTGTGATACACGACATTTTTTGTTTTACACTACGACTGATTTAATCTAATTAGGTATTATTTTGGAAGTCCATTTCACTACTCGATGGATTTATATTATTTTGTTTAATTCCACTACAATTAACATGTGTGACTAGGAATTTCTACACCGAAAATTCGTAGTCTCACACATGTTAATTGTAGCTGAATTAAACAAAATAATATAAGTCCATCGAGTAGCACTACGACTGATTTACTCTTATTTAGTTACTCAACCAGTTGGTTATATATTTAATTTTGACTGTAATGAATTAGTACTATTTGGTAGTTTATAAAACGCAGCGTGGGAAGGCCTCCAGCAAGGTGGACCGACGATCTGGTCAAGATCGCTGGAAGGCATTGGATGCGAGCAGCGCAGGACCGATCGTCGTGGAGATCTTTGGGAGAGGCCTATGTCCAGCAGTGGACGTCTTCCGGGCTGCGATGATGATGATGATGATAATGATTGTAGTTTATATTCACACATTTCAACTTAAAGATGTAAACTTACAACTAAATTATTTAAACAGCAACACGCAAGTTTCTTACTCCTTGTGTTGAGATAACTTTCAGAATAAGCGGTAGATTAAATAAAAATAAGCAATGACTATTCAAAAATGCTTCAATGTAAGTTTATTTGAATAAATAGTTTTCTATGATCTTTAAGTAATTCACAATAAATAAATATCATATATGTACATAACTTAATTATACAACAAAGAACCTAAAATTAAAAACCTTAAAAAATATACTATAATATACTTTGACGACCTCGGTGGTCTAGCGGTCTAGCACACCGCTTTACGACCGATGGTCGCGGGTTCGATTCCTCGCACGGCACAAACATTTGTATTCATGAGTATGATTGTTTGTATCGTCTGGGTATTTTCTATGTATAATATGTATGTATTTACGAAAAAAAAAAATATCTATGTATTTGTATCAGTTGTCTAGGACCCATAACACAAGGTTTAGCTAGCTTAACTTGGGTCTAGATGGCGCTATGTGAATTGTCCTGAGATTATTATTATTATCATTATCATATAATATGATAACTAAAATATATTATTAAAAGTAGTCCCTTTAGGCAAGGTTTTTATTCTATTTTCTATTCTATTCAATATATATATATATACCAATAGATTTGTTATTACCAGCGGAGTTTTTACTTTAATGTATATTGTAACAAGGGTAGATATGAAAATATATTTATATGTGTAAAGGTTGCTTGTCTATGTGACAAGCAACCTCATCATCAACTGCTTCTTCCTTCTCCCATTTATTTGGGGTCGGCGTAATATGTTTTTCTCTTCCATTCATCTCTGTTCGCAGTCATTCCGTTATTTACTCCCTTTCTCACCATATCACCTTTCACACAGTCCATCCATCTCTTTTTCGGTCTTCCTCTACCCCTATAACCATCCACATTCATATGTTGCCTCGGGGGTACGCCCTAGTCCGATCATCAATTCGTTCACTCAAATTCATATTACGAGAGAATGGTTTTGGCTTGTCACATACTATTTAATATATATTCTGTAGATTATCTTCACATAGTATATAATAAAGACGCTTACGCTGTCTGTTCGCTTAGATCTTTTAAACTACGCAACGGATTTTAATGTAGTTATAGATAATAGATAGAGTGATTCAAGAGGAAGGTTTATGTATCACTAGCTTTTGCCCGCGGCTTCGCTCGCGTTAATTTACCCCCTAAGGGGTGGAATTTATCAAAATCCTTTCTTAGGGGATGCTTACGTCATAGTAGCTTTATGCATGCAAAGTCTCAGCCCGATTGGTTCCAAATTGACAAAGTTTCATACAAACTTTCATCCTCTATTTGATCCCCTTGGGGGTAGAATTAATCAAAATCCTTTCTTAGCGGATGCCTACGTCATAACATCTACCTGCATGTCAAATTTCAGCCCGATCCGTGCAGTGGTTTGGGCTGTGCGTTGATCACTATGTCAGTCAGTCAGTCAGTCACTTTTGAGTTGTATATATATATATAGATACATGTTCAACTGCGCGAAGTCGGGGCGGTAAGCTAGTAAATTATATTTTAAATGAACGAAAGGGTTGTTGGCAATACCTATATATTGAAATATATATTTTTATATTTATTGTAATGTTTTAACGGACTAATATTAAGTGTAATTGTGTTTTGTCATAAAAACATAAGGTAGATATGAACAAACTGTTGTTTTAAGGTGCGAGGGAACTTATATAAATTGCTCTTTATGGTGTAATTTAAATATTTTTCTATTAAATCTTATCCAAGTTCGTATTTCATATCTGCTATCTGCTAAATATCTATTAAATGATATATTACACTATTATTAAATATATAAGATTATATCTAAATCAAACTATGAATGAAATGAATGAATGAATAAAATTAAATATTCTTCATTGTTCTCAGCACATAATAAAAACATGTATTTACATATGTGTGCATAATATATAAATAAGAATAGACTGTAGTAGTATAAAAAGATTTAATAAAAAAAATCAGGATTTCATCAGGCGAAAGACAAAACATCGGCTTCATTTGTTGTATGTACAACAAATAAAAGCAATGCTTTGTCTGGACTGCCGAAATACCAATTTTTGTTTTTTTTTTATTAAATACTTTTATGGCCCTGGAAACCCCGACGTTGCACTGTTGTAGTTTATAAAATTTTTGGGCCACTGATTCATACAATTTACCCTGAACATATACATATATAATAATAATCATATATTCAGCATCATAGTATAGAGTAGAAATATATAAATCT